ATATATGTCCCAACCAAATTATTTGCTATTTATCTGAGATTCAAATTTAACTGGGTGTCCTGTACTTTATCTGGCAAACCTACCTTAAAAGAAAAAAAAAAAAAAAAGAATCCAGAAAGTAAGCAAAGGATACAAGAAATGATGCTGAATGCAAAACTTGATAAACTAGGTTAAATTCATTTAACTATTAACTGTATGGGGGGAAAAAACCTTCTCAATTTCCATTAACTATACCTTTGAAAATAACTGTAAAGTGAGGACTCTAATTCTAAATGAACCCAGCACATTCTTTTCTCCAGCCAAGTAGGTTTTCTTAAAACCTGTATTTTCCAGTTTTCTCAAAGCACCCAAAGACCAGTCTTCTTCTATATGCTTACCATACTGCAGTCACAATTTTTTGTAATGATTAAGAGAAGCTGAAATAGAAGCTATAGTCCAGCCAAGCTCTTCATAACCCAAAAATCCCATGTATGGCTTACTGGTATGGAGTGAGTTGTGAGTTTCATTTAGTAACAGAGACATGCTCCTGAAAAAAAAATGTCCATTATCCTTTCTGTGTTCCAAACAAAATTTGGTTTCAAATACAATTTGGGGCACCATCTTAAAGGAGCTCCACAGTGAAAGTTTTGTACTGGGTATGATGATGCCCTAATGTATCTATTTTGTAAATTTATTTTATTAAAGCAGAAAAACCGGTGTAATAAAATGACGCCAAGAGTAAGTTATGTGGACAGCTCTTTCATATTTGCTTTAACGGGCTCATCTGGAGTCAGCTAAAATTTAGCTAGTTGGGAAAGTGAACAAAGCAAATTGTATCCTGCTGATTCCAACTGATTTAATTACACTAAGTTCAAGGTCAGGAAGGATGTCTTATTCATCACTTATCCTCAGTCTGTAGCTCAGGAGAGCCCTGCTAATTAATGTGTGTGGATCACTGAATATTTTTTAATATTTTCAAGATTATCTATGAAAAAGGAATATGCATACACTGGATTATGAAAGTATAGACGTCTCTCACTTACATATTTTGGCATTGCCCACAGCACCTCAGCACATGCTAAAAAATGTACAAAATAATACTAGGTTGATTTTATCCCTATAGCTCATGAACTGGGTGATTTCAACATATCAAAAGAGGCATTTGCTTTTAATAAAAGACTTCCCTAAATAGATTGGTCCCCAAGTAATTTCAGAACCAAATGTATTTTTAAAACTTGGATTTATGCCTGATTTTTAAGAGCTCATTTATCTCATGACAAAGTAATGGGCAAGTGAGAGTATTCAAAATGCAGGGAAGAACGGAGCTCTAGAGTCCAGGAGTATGAAAGCAGGCATTCCTATTATCATATTCATGAGGTATCAATCCATTTAATTCTAGCGCTACATCAAACTTTTGCACAATAATCAAACGGCAAATGCTGCTCTAGATCCACTAGGAAATATGCTTGTATTGTTTGTTATGATAAATGAAGCAAAGTATAACAATTCCATAATGTTAAGGGTAGTGAGGGCAGGTTTTAGAGTTCCATGTGTGTATATGTAATAAATCATTCCTTTGAAAAGATAATTGCAGCACCACCAGAGAGGAGAAAAGACCCAACTTCGAGGGCAATTATTTCAAAGCTCCTCAAATTAACTTGTGCACAGTTGGTTCTTTGTTACTGAGCCCACATTACCAAACGTTGTTTCAGGACATTAGTTCGCTTAGGTGAAGGAAATAATGTAATTCTAGTTATTAATCACTTTAATTTTAAATCTGCTTTGTAAACTGAGAAGACATTAAACTCTAAGAACAATGTGGAATGCACAAGTAATTAGTGGTTAATGGGCTCCTTTTGAAAAACTCTAGGATAACAAAATCAAAAGCTTCAACACTCTAGGAAAAAGGAGTGTACATATGTAATGTGAGAAAGTTCTATTTAATTTTGCTGACCGTTAGTGTCACAAAGGGAGTGAAATTAAGCCCTTCTCTCAAAAGTAATTTTAATAGATTATGATGAATGAAATCATATTATTTTATGAGTCAGTCTCCTCTGTAGTGTAATTTAGCGGTGCCTTTTGGAGGCACCATGAAATAGAATTTTCAATGACACTTCACTCCAGAATCCATGCCAAAAAGTATAACGCTCTTTTGCAAATATCCTCCTGAGACAAACGTAAGCCAGGATTTGGTGTTACTGACCATCAGTGCAAAGAACAAGATGGAACCATTAAGATATGCTCAATATGAACAAAACTTGCAAAAGGTCACTCCATACCAGCCATACCAGAGGAGGAAAATACAAAACAAACAACAACAATAATCAAGCAATTACTTAAAGGATTCTTCATTCTATTTTGCTAAATGAGAGAGCAAGTGCAATAGTTGCAAATTTTTACTTCCACTTCTACCATGGTATTTTTAAATACTGGTAGAACCTTGAAGCAGCTAGAAGGAGGAATATATTGGATAACCATCCTTTCTTATTACACAAAACCAAATTACTGTTAATTGCTTTGACTTCTATTACTCCTCACAACAGATGGCGTGTCTTCTGTTCTAATGAGCTAGTAGCTACATTAGTCATACTTCCCAGATACATACAAAATCCATAAAGGAGACCATGTGGCACATGGAAACAGAGGTGTTTTGGGAGTTCAAGCCTGGCCGGGCCTCTTATTATCTGTGTGATCTGGGTAAAGTTACTTACTCTCTCTGTGTCTCGGTTTTAATTGGGATGAATAATGTCCATATCCCACCCCACCCCACCCCATCCCATCCCAACCAGAAAAACAATGTACATTCTTCATCATTTGCAGTTAGGAAAAGATGACATTCTGGAGAATGGTTAACATTTAGGCACACAGGTTTACAATGGGGAAGGATAACTAGGGATCCTCCTCTGTCTGTAGTCTAAGGAGCAGGCAGTTACACCTCATCACAGGGCACATTTCAGGAAACTTCCTATCTAGGGGTTAAAATCGTGGAACAGACCAAGATGTCATTTCTTTCTTCTCATGCACAGCCTCTATCCCGGCAACAGAGTAACAATAGCATCAGACAACTGGAATGTACCTACAAAGTCACCCAACCTCATGTACTGCACAGGACAGAAATTCCCCGTAACACCCCTGACTAGCTGTTATTAAGAATCTACTGGATCACTTCCGTGTGCAGGAAGCTCAGTACTTCCAAAGGCATTTCAGTACAGTGTTGGGGAATGCTATTCCACACAAAAAGTTTGCTTGTAATTGTAAATATGCTTCCTTTTAACTCCATCCTATGGACTGGTTTTTGAAGCAACTCATAAAAGACTTGTTTTGTAGGACAGTTAATCAAACACTTATAGGCATGTTTGCATGGCAGCCATTACATCTCTCTTTATTCTGCACTTCTCCAGGGCTAAACACCCTCAGGTTTCCAGGCCCTTTGCAAGCTTTGTTGACCTTATCAGCCAAGAGACAATGAACACCAAACACCCAAACCTCAAATTCAGTCTGACTGGCAGAGGACAAGATTGTTACTTCCAACGGCCTGCTCATTCTGCTTCTACTAACACATTCTAAAAATGGGCCAGGGCTTGTCATATAGATTTTTATCCAAATCCATGAAGCAGTCACTTCATTTACACTGCAGAATGTACATTCATTCATTTGACATATTCCTTCTTCCATCCATTTAATTCAATCTTCCCTCCATTTAATAGACTCTTTTAAGGATGTCTTAAATTCTAGCGGTTCCTAGATAATAATGATTAACCCATTATTCCCATGTTACTAAGGTTTACAGAGGTTTCTCAAAAAGTGTCTTGGGTGCCCTCTCCTTGAACAGTTAAATCTAACCTTCCCAATACTCTTTTACAAGAGGGCTTATCATATTTTAAGGCAAAACTTTTTCAAACACATGGTATACCTATGTGCATTTCAGAAGAAAATTCTTTGTTTGCTAAAGCTCTACGAATCATAAAAGTTAGATGCAATATGGAACAACTTGAGAAAATTCTCAGATTATTAAGATAGTCCATTGAAATGAGCCCTTTTAATAGGAATTAATCTATATTTTCCAACATTACCTTAATCTACTCTGTCCTATAAACACATACTGGTCAAGGATACAGAGCCCCAGACAACAAGTCAGAAAACATGTGCTGTGTTCTTGACATGGATTTTGGTTCACTAAGATTCTTGAAGCCTCTTTATTTCAGTGTAGACATATTTCCAAGTTACTAATAATACCTTTATCCCAGACATGTCAGGGGAAATTAGGAGCATTAATTGGACATTCCACAAAGTAAGTGACACAAAATTTGCTCTCATGTATGGGTACTAAACCAGGCATTAGTAAACCTGAGTTCTAACCTTTGCTCTAGCCTCAGGGAAGTCACTTAGCAAGTCTGGGCTTGAACATCCCCATCTATAAGGTACAGACCCTGGGCTAAATGATCTCTGAGGATCCCCCTGCTTGCTCAACTCTGCTACATGGTTCAAAATAAACTGAGCAAAAGTGCGTAGGACATTCCACATTTAGCTACATAGCCTTAACTGTTGCCTAGGAAATGTGTATTCACCCTGATATTTAAGACCCCATACTTCGAGGTGGCTAGCAATATTCTGATGAGAGGGGGAAAAATAAGGAACTCTCCTACCCAATCCTGTGTCAACAAGGAAGTAGTACTGCTAGGTATAGGTGTGAACTCATCTGTACCCACACATCCGCTCACGTATGGACAGGCAGTGACTAGCGTGGAGACCATAGAGGGCTCTGCTATGTAATCTAATCTCCTGTGGATTTCAGGAAAAATTTCAGGGGAAATAAAGTTCCATGAAATTTGAAATGTTACTAATTCTAGTAACCCTACACTAGAACTCTTTATTTCCTTACAGCTAAATTGAGTGAGCAGGAGGTAGTCACTGTTATGACCTTCACACACTGGGCTAATGAGCAAAACATGATCAAACAACTCAAATTCCTAAAAAGCCAAAACAATGAGGTCCACACCAATGAATTCAGTTAACCTTACCTTGACAAAAGGTGTTGTTAACCCGCTTATAACCTTGTAGACATTCCATCATTTGGTTATATCCATGATAAGCTGTAAGGAGAAATAACTCTTTGTTACATGCTTAAATTCTTACAGTCCTAAACTACCAACGTGATAACCTAAGCCACCAAAGTCATGAGTGGTCTGTCTTATTCATTTCTAAGATACCCAACTCAACATATAGCAGTTTCTTTCACTTATCCCTGTTTTTCAGTATACTTCCTATTCTGCAATAGATAGAGTCCCAAGTAGTTGTCAGCAAATCTTGATTATGTTAATCCAAAGAATCATAAGACTATTTTATATTTTCTTCCAATTAGTGATTATTTATATTACAGAGGATCTATTCCTCCCCAAATGATTGGCTACAGGCATTTGAATTTTCTTATAAGTTGGAGTGAACATACATCCTGGCCTGCCTGGGACAGCCCTGGGTTGAGCACTCTATTATACTCTCACAAGTGGCCCAGTTCCAAAAATAAACTATATGCTCACCTAAATATTGGCTCACATATGCTGGTAATGAGGGATTATTACTACTATGAACCCGAGAAGAATAGAAGATGAAAAGAGGAAGCCAGGCAAGGAGAAGGGCTGCTGTGATCATCGGTATGGTTCATCACCCTTAATCTACTCTTTTCACCAATACAATGGAATTGTATTTGGTATTAATTAATTTGGAATTGTATTTGGTATTAATTAATTTGGAATTGTATTTGGTAACAGCAGCATTGTATTTTCACCAATACAATGCTGCTGTTACCAAATAACCAACAAAACCCCATTCACGGATTCTGGCACTCTTAACTGAGATCCAAGAGACTTCTTGGCATAATGGATACAGCATAAGTTCAGGGACCAAGCAGTTCAAATCCTGGCTCTGCCTATCAATAGCTCTGCGACCCTGGGAGACAAGCTTTCCAGCTTTCAAATGGCAATTCTATACAATGGGAGTATTCACAACTACTGAGCAGGTCAGGGCTAGTGTGGATTTTAGATATAATTTATGCAAAATGCCTACCACCATGCCTGACAAAACCACTCACGAGATGACAGATGTCTTTATTTCCTCCCATACGGTATTCTTTCATTAAGATCATGAGCAACAGAAAATGGCCAATAATCAAAACAGGATGGATGGTGAGACCACTAAAAAGACCTGAACAAAGAGTAAAGAGGAAAAATTCAAAATGAAAAGGAAATTTTCTCTCAGAAAACAAAATTGTTTTGCCCCAACACATGCTCTTTACTCTCACCACTAATGGAATGTTCCCTTCTCCTTCTTCACTTCCTTTCTTTGCTATATGTCCCATCTCTTCAGATTCTTCTGAATTCTAAGAAAAGGTTATAGTGAGGAGTCTTGGAATGGTGAGTTATAAGGAGGGAGAAATTGACATGTGGGGAGTCACCCCATTCAAGCTCCTTGGCCACATAACTAGTCTTCCATAGAATGGAGACTCTCTGGAGCAGGATGCCTACAGAGATCTTGGGATCTCTGTGAACTCTTCAAATGAAAAAGAGAGGATAACTTGTTTAAAAAGTTTCAACAGTCATCTACCTCGAGGCAGAGAGTCAGACCAGATGATCTCTTCAGGTCCTCGTCAGCTTAGGATTCTATGTTAATTTTCTTCTAAAAACTTTTAAAGGACCAGTGACTTGTTCATGCAAAGTACATTTTTAAAAGATTACAGAGTATTTAATGAAATCATTTGCAGATTTAAAATTAAGTTTTCACAGTAAAAACTGATCAACAGTGAAAGGTCTTTCTGTATGTGGCTAAACAAAAACTTCAAACATTAAATAAAAGCCATTTGAAAACTGAAGTTTGAACTACTTCAAGTGAAAATTAAAAAAAAAAAAAAAAAAAAGCATGGAACACAAAACCATAGCATATAAAGCCAAGGAAAGTCTGCTCTCTTCCAAAAAGAATATGATTTAGAGAGTAGTACCAACCAAGGAAAGGAAAGTTTCTAAATGACACAGGAAGAATGTGACCCTGAGTGTGTTTCTTGGGAGTGAGTCACTTAGGACAGCACAAAGTAAATGTCAAGATGTTAATAGTTTACTTCAGTCATAATCCACATTGCCCTTCCTGAAATGAAATCAATCGCTTGAATTTTATACATTACATGAGCCAACATGAATTTTTTTTTTAAGATTTTATTTATTTATTTGACAGAGAGATAGAGAGAGAGCACAAGTAGGCAGAGAGGCAGGCAGAGGGAAAGGGAGAAGCAGACTCACCACAGGGAGCCCAATGTGGGGCTTGATCCCAGGACCCTGGGATCATGACCTGAGCTGAAGGCAGCCGCTTAACCGACTGAGCCACCCAGGCGCCCCCAACATGAATTTATTTTTGTCAGCATTTAGTCAAAAGTGATAGCAACTTTGTGCTTTCACATTCTCCTTAATTACTAGCACTAAAACATAGAATTAACAAAACCATTTAAAGCAGTGAATTTATGCTCAGAAAACACAATTCTAAATAAAAACAACAGAAGGTCAGGAGTAGAGGTTAGGGATTAAAAAACAACAACAAGAATCTAGGATTCTCTTTACCCCTAACTTCTGTCCCTCTCTTTCAACTTTGGGATTGAGAAAATGGAGGAAAGGGAAGCAGTTAAGCAAAAACCACAGAAAGAAGGAGGGATAAGAAAAAGACATAAGATAAGAGAAAAGATGGAACAAGTATTTAGAGAACATGAACTTGACCCCAGAATAAAGTTGGAAGAACTGGACTTCTCCTTCTGCAGTCCTGAGACTTAGAGGTGGGAAACATACCGTCCTCTCCACAATATTCCTACAGACAAACTTACACAGTATATGAGGGATAGGCCATTAAAAGAAAAAAAAAAAAAA